TTTCTGAAATGGACTTTATATCGTTTATCAAGCTGTTTTCATCAATGAAATCTTTTGATAGTTCCAACCACTCTCACTACCCACTGCCATCCAGTCGATTCCGACTGATAGCGACCCCATGGGGTAAATCTATAGGCCGTAAATCTCTGTGGAGGCAGACTACCACATCTTTAACTCTAACTAAAAAAAACAAAAAAACCAAACCTGTTGCCGTCAAGTTGATTCTGACTCATAACTCTAACTAGGAGGGAGCAATTTTATTTTTGTGATACTGAGAACCCAGATTTCATTACCTCTGGAGGACTCTAATTTATTCGGAGCCCTGGTGGCGCAGTGGTTAAGAGCTTGGCTGCTAACCAAAAAAAAAAGGTCAGCAGTTTGAATTCACCAGTCGTTCCTTGGAAACCCTATGGGGCAGTTCTACTCTGTCCTATAGGATCACTATGAGTCAGAATCGACTTGTGGGCAACGGGTTGAGTTTTTTTTGGCTTTGTTTTCTAATTTATTCATACAAGTGGAAGAATAAAAAAGAGAGTAAATATTTTATGTATATATATACATATACATCCACTACTAAAATTTGTCTGTCATTTTAAAAGTCATTTTCTTTACCTCACATTATAGTCCAATCCCAAGTTTTACAGAACTTTTAAAATACTACTCCCTGGCAGGCCAAGGAGCTGTTTTAACTCACGGGCTATAAATCTTCTCTGGGGAAAAGGCATCATTTACCAAAAAAGAGAGACGGATATCATTACCATGGGATTTTGAGCAGGTAAGGGATCCTTAGACTCATTGAAATCCAGATGTTTTGTTTAGCTTTAAGAATACGCTCAGGATATGACAAATGTCTCTTTCCTAACTGCAAGGTCATTTCCAAGATCACACAGAGAGAAAGTGGCATGCCAGTGACTTGTCTCTATCAGTACAAGGGGAGGTATCTATAAGTGGTGGGGAAAAAATAGCTGACCTTGGTGAGGGCTTTGTCAGACTTTGGGTTCTGAACTTTTAAGCCTATTGTAAGAAACACTCCTCTGCTGTGTCCCACAATTCTGCACACACACCTTTATTACAGCATACCCACACTTGTTTGTGATTGTTTTCCTGTTGCAAACCCTGATATCCTACAGAGCGGGAGCTATACCTCACCCATCTTTCTGTGTCTAGCCCTCAACCTAGCATAAGGCACGGGGTATACTGTTAAATAACTGCTTTTTAAATGGACGAATGTGTAAATGTCTCCAAGAGGGAGTTTTACTCATTCACGTATGGGGAAAGACAGAAACACTAAAGGTTAAAATTTCATGTCCAGAAAGGAGTTTTTGGTTTAATGGGTGGTACCTTAGCTTTATGAAGGAGCCCTGGTGGCTCAGTGGTTAAGCACTTGGCTGCTAACTGAAAGGTCAGTGGTTCAAATCCACCAGCCGATTCATGGGAGAAAGATGTGGCAGTCTGCTCCCGTAAAGATGACACTATGGGGCAGTTCTACTCTAAGCATTGCTATGAGTTGGAATGAACTTGACGGCAATGGGTTTGGCTTGGAACAGGTACCTTAGCTTTCTGGGGGCATTGGTGATTCAATGGTAGAATTCTTGCCTTTCATGCCGAAGACCCAGGTTTGATTCCCAACCTCATGCGCAGCCACCACTTGACTGTCAGTGGAGGCTTGCCATGGTGTTATGATGCTGAACAGATTTCAGCGGAGCTTCCAGATTAAGATGGACTAAGAAGAAAGGCCTAGCACTCTACATCTAAAAATCAGCCAATGAAAACCCTAAGGATCACAATGGTCCAATCCACAACCAATCATGGGGATGGCGCAGGACCGGGCAGCATTTCATTCCATTGTGTATGAGGTTGCCATGTGTTGGGGCCGACTCGACAGCAGTCCACAATAACCTTAGCTTTATATAATGCTTCACAGTTTTCAAGAATGTTCACTTATTTTATCTCATTTGATGTCATTTCCATGTAGATCTGAAAGGTTGGCAGGGCAAGTATGACTATTTCCATTTTGCACATGAAGAAATTCAGCTCTTGCTCAATTGAATTGTAGCACGAAGATAAGACCCATGGTCTTCTGATTACTAACCCTCCCTGTATTATAAAATCCCTAATTACATCTCACATTTTTGGCACGATCTTTGACAAAATGTCTTGTTCCTTTTTTCACAACTGACCACATTGTTGACCAGCTTAAATCCAAGGAGTCAAACATACTTTCATGAGATGGAGTCAATTTAGCCGACAAATGTCGCGTGCATGTCTGGATTCCATCTCTCTATCATGTCAATCTATTCATTTCATCCTCCTATTTCCTCTTTATCCACTTTTGTTGTTGTTAGTTGCCATAGGGTTGATTCTGAATCATAGCGACCCCATCTGTGAACTTTCGGAAGCCGACTGTCAGGCCTGTCTTCTGAGGGGCTTCTTGGTGGGTTCGAACTGCCAACGTTTCGGCTAGTAGTCGAGTGCAAACTGTTTGCACCACCCAGGGACCTTATCCCTCTTAGAGAAAAATAAATGAAAGCCATTCTCTTTCCAGACCTGGTGTGTTCGGTTAGCTGGAAGCCATTTGGGGTCTTCACAATACCTGAAGAAGTGCAGGAAACAGTAAGATGGGCTCGGAAGCAATGACGGCCAGAGGTGTGTAATTGGTGCATTGTGCTTTTTGCCTCTTGCCCCTGTTTTGTAAATGGAGTCTCGGTGGTGTTGGGGTCTGTGTGTAGCCTGACTCCTGAGTACCAACTGTGAGCTCTCAGAAGGGCCCCTTGGCTGCTTGGAGCTTTCATTTGATAATGGAGGAGGTTCATAGATACATGTTATTTATAAGACTTCTACTATGCAGTAATTACATCCCCTTCTAATTACATAGTATTGGGAAAAAAGGAATCTTTTTTTTTTTTTTTTAAATTGAAGTTTTACTATAATGTTTTAAAAGACAATGACTGTGTCTTATTCATCTTTGCATTTCCCAGAGTCTGGCATTGACCTTTCCATATAGTGGTTATCAATATTTGCTGCACAAAGGAGGTGCACAGAGGGAGTTCATCCTAATTCAAACTTTGCACATTGTAATGTAAACTTGTGCTCAATGACATTCTGAAACATTCCACCTGGTCCTTTCTTCCCTCCAACCAATGGCCGTCATGGGCTGTTTGTGCTGGGGCTGACTTTAGACATTGATTCAGTTTCAGAAGAAACACTGTCTTGTCTACACCTTAGTGTTTGTGTAATTATTTGAACACTTTATCACATTTTGCCTGTTTTAAAAATGAGAGGAAACTGAAAAATTATTGGGTGGGCTAATAGCGGTAAACATTTATCCTATAGTGTTTTTGACTCCTTGGATTTAAGCAAGTCAATTCTGTGGTCTATTGTGAAGAAAAAGGATGGGATGTTTTGTCAAAGATTGTGCCCAAAAGGTAAGGTGTAATTAGGGGCTTTATAATACCGCAAATTTTAGAAAACTCCTCCCAACATGCAAATATAGTTTGATCTTTGTTCTTTCCAGTTTATAAACATTTTCAGAAATACACTGTATAAGAAGCCATTGTTTAGGAAGATGAGAAATGTTGTATAATAAAGATCTTTAAATGGTGTTTATTAAAGAGTAACTTAATAATTTCCCAAGTTACAAAAACAGCTGATGGATGCCGTGACTGAGCCTATATCTAAACAGGGCTCGTGGAGACTACGGGGTAGTTAACTCCCAGCCACCAGCTGGGAGTGGCCCTGGAATGTTCTGGCTCAGAGTTACTCATCTATACAACGTGGGTGATCTCTGTCCAGGGCTCTTTGCAGCTCTCAGATAGGCTCAATCCCAGGAGGGCCTTTGCCACTGATTGTAAGAAAAGCTCCGAGTTCCGAAAGGGGCCGGGTTTGGGGAGAAGATGCTCGGGGGCCAAGAAAGACGAGCGTTCCTATGATTCTTTTGCAAAATTTGGAGACTGGGGCTGGGGGTTGTAGCCTTTCAGTTCCTCGTTTAAAATGACCATGAAAAGGAAAAATAAAAGGAATTGTAATTTATATTTCACGTTACCCACGGAAAAGAACTGCAATGTTTTCCTTTTTATCTCCAAGTCAAAGAAAGCATGTACGGTGAGGACTACTCCAGAGAGCGACGGTTCTCTGTAAAACTCGTTTTTTACACGTCGAAAATCGGACTTCGGAGGCAATTTCCTGGATTGCTGGGGTGGGGGGTTGGGGTGGGGGGGAGAGAGGACTAGGGAAAAGAAAAGCCTATCATCTAAGCATTCTCTCCTCAATTATGTGTTTCTTTTCAAAGCTGGGTTGGCATCCTTTCCAGGGATAAGCAGAAGTAGATGTTTAATAAATAACTGTCCAATCGAAAGGTTCTTATTTTCCAGCTTATTTCCGCCCTGGGGACCGAGGAAATCCTCAAAGGCGAGGGGCCCAGCTCTCGGGCGCCCAGCGCAGCACCCCCGCAAGCGCCCCCCGTCGCTCCTCCTAGCTGTTGCTCAGGCTTCGACGGCTCAGGGCGGAGCCGCAGGCCGGCGGACGCAGGTGGGGAGGGCGGCCGGGGCGCGTCAGTGACACCTTTGGGGAGTGGGGGAGGCGCGGCAGCCGCACCCCGCCCTGGGAAGAAACTGGCCAGGTGTGGCCTTGGCGCCGGGTAGCAGCGGGGAGGAGCCTCGCGCCCCCACCGACCAACACCAACACCCAGCCCGCACACAGCTCCTCTGCGCTCTCGCCACCCTCCGAGACACAGCTCTTCCTCCTGCTCCACCACCGGCCGGGCGCTCCCAGCTCGCCTCTCCCGCGCCCCAACCTCCACTGGGCCGGACCGCGCCGCACCGCGCCGCACCGCGCCCGCAGCTGCCGGCCCCGCCCCGCCAAGAGGAGCGTCCTTGAGAAACTTGGGCACCGCCCCCCACCATTTCGGCTTTTCTGTGCTTATTAAGCCTCCTCGGACTTCCTCCGGCCGCTGCTCTCGCTTATGCCTCGGCGCTGAGCCGCTCTTGCGTGCCGCCGCCGAGATGAGCTGCAACGGGGACTCCTACCCGCGGATCAACACGCTGGGTCGCCTGACGCGCGCCGAGTCCGGCCCAGACCTGCGCTACGAGACGACCGGCGGCGGGGGCGGCGGCGGCACCACCACCAGCAGGACGTACTACACGCGGCGCTGTCAGGTCACCGACCTGAACTCGGACGGCTACGGGTGGGTGCTCTCCGAGCCGACTCCTAGGAAGCTGGCGGGGGGGTGGAGAGGGAAACCTGGTCCAGAAAGAGAAAAGTTTTTTGCCGGAGATCACAAAATCGTTTCCTGACCCGGCTGGGACAGCGCCCAGGTGTCCCGCGCCCAGTGCACTCGCTGACCGGAGTGGGGAGGGTGGGTGAGTGCCGGGAGAGGAGCGGCTCCTTTCCCGAGAGCCGGGACTCGGTCCCATCTGGCTCCCTTCCCGCGAACCCGGCCGGGGCAGGACGGGGCGTGCAAACCCCGCCTGTGTGTGTGTGTGTGTGTGTGTTGGGGGGGGGGTTCCAGGAGGGCGCGAGGGGACTTCTGGGGGTCGTCTCTGCGGCCCTGGGGCTGCCTTTCTGCCAGGCCGGCCGCATCGCCTTTGTCTCGGGCTCCCGGCTTCCCTGGCCGGCAGGTGGGAGGTCAGCAAGGCGTGGTTGTGAAAACAGAAGCCAACCCTGAGCTGTAACGAAACGTAAACCAGCGGAGGCACGGGGTCTGCGGCCTGCCCATGGGCGGCGCCCCGCGGTCCCCGCTGGCTCCTACCTTCCTGTCCACCCTGAGACCTGCGCCTGCTCCCGGGCTCTCGGTTCACCAAGGGGAGTTGAGTCGCGGACGGCGCCCAGCTGGAGGCTGCACGTCCCGCCAGCGCGGGGTCTCGTCTCGAGGGAGCCCCTTTCCGTCTGTCCCCTCTCTCCTCCGACGGAGCTTTCTAGACAGGGCGGACGCGGGCTGGGCCCTTTGTTTGCTCCTTTTTAAAAAAGCACACGATGAACGACCCCAGTGCTTTGGTCGCGAGCGCGGTCGTATAGTGTGCCGTTGGAACGGGAGCGTGTGAGCAGGTGGTTGTGGCACCGAGGGCTCCCGCACCCACTGGGCGCGCCCGCCCGCCACGCAGCGGGCCGCCCTGGCGAAGGTGCCGGGAGAGGCGCACCGGGAGTAGGGCTGGGTCCAGCTCTTCGGGATCATCGCGGAAAGAGACCGAGGGGGTCCTTTGATGGTGGGGGGAGATAGGGAACCTGGTCCCCAGGGCCGGACTCTGGATGCCCACGTGAGCCGGGAGAGTTTGGCCGCATGTGCCCCTCGCCTCCCCCTGCAAGGCCTGCCCATGTAGGGCTTTTGGGAGCGGCCCAGGGCTCGCGAACAATATTGTCTCTGCGTTGTGGCCTTAGGCTGGGGAGGAGCCACCAGAATACACTCCAAAGGGTTTTTGTTTTGTAAGCAGTTTTGAAGACAAGAACTCCTGGAGTTGCAACCTGTTTTTTGCTTAGATTTATTATTATTTTTTGGAGCATCTTAATTTATTTTCACTTTTTGACTTAGGAAAGAATTGTCACAATATTGAAGCTTTGTTTTCTGAACAAAATATACCTGGGGATTTCCAGGAAAAAAAAGTACCGATAATAGAAGGAATGAGGAGGACGTTTTGCAAGTTATCATTTTAGGTTTTTAGTTTATTTTAAAACTTTGCCAGCTGTTTAACTCTAGAACTTGATTTTTTCCTCCCAGTATTCCAATATTTAGGAAGCACATTGTTTTAATCCAAGCCAGAATTTCCAAGGGTTCTTCGGTAGCTCTTCAGCATTTTATGAACCAACAATTTTTTATTTTTAAAATATGCTTTGGTTATCCTAGAGCCCTTATCTTTTAAATAGACAGTAATTAGTACTATTGTTTATTCCATCCCTTTGGTTTACGTTTTGTAGAGAAGTAATATTTAAAACAATTAATCGGTTAACGAACTGCATAAAAGAGGTGGTTTCTTCACGGAAACGTATAATTTTGGGGAGGCTGTTTATTCGCAATACAGCATAATTTCCCATGTTCTGTTTTCCTGATGTAAAGCTTGTTTATAAACTTGTCAGGTTTTACATCTCTCTGAGAAGGGAAAACAGACCCAAGTGAAAAATTACCTGAGTCTGAGGAAGGGTGTTATTCCTGCCCACTAGTGTTAATTTCCCGGGGCTGCCAAGGAGGTCTGGTCTCTGGGCTTCAGTGAGCCTGAGTGCATTCCTTCCTGAACCAGGTAATGGAGGCTCCCCCACCCTCCCCCCCAAGCCTGTAGGGACCTGCACGGGTGAGGTGGCAGTGGCACTGTCAACCCTTCTGAACTGAGCAATTAATAAAATACAAAATGGCCCACGGATGCTGGCTTTTGCATTTTAAAAAATGGTGACTCTGACGGAAGGCAGAAAGCGTATGCACCTACACCTGGTTTTCTGGCGGTTTTGGGTAGAGGGATTTGGTGGCCTGTGGCTTGTGATTTTTTCAGGAGTAGGATGCAACATTAACCAAGGGATCACATTAACTAAGGGATCCGCTGCCCTGTGCTAAATAAATGATGACTAAGCATTTAATAAGTACTTTTCTGACCAAAAGTTTTTCTAAGAACAAAAACCAATGTGAAAACTACTGGCTGAATTTAAGCTCATTTGTTTAAAAAACTACTACTTTATTGGCTGAATTATGTTGGTGATTTTTTAATAGTAAGTTTAGCCCTTTCCCTAATTCAACTAATATGAATGTGTAGAGACCCCCAAATCTTATTTTTCCTTTTAAAGTGACTGTAAATACCTCCCCTCTGTTTGTCTTTTACATTAATAAGAATGCTTGTGAGTTAAAACAAGCAAACAAACGTGTTGCCATCAAGCTGATTGCAACTCACAGGAACTCTGTAAGACAGAGTAGAACTGCCCCATAGGGTTTCCAAGGAGCGGTTCGTGGATTTGAACTGCTGACCTTTTGGTTAGCAGCCAGATGCTTAACCAGGACAGTCTTATAACTCATTTGTAATTCTCTCCCCCTACCCCCCAATCCTTTGTGTCTAATTTAGGTTGAATTAATTCTGCAACTACTTTATTTAACTTCTTCTCCGGTTCTCCTTCATATTTTGTTAATGTTTGGTAAATGTTACATTATTGATAATATAATAGGTATATTTTTGAGAATTTGTACTCTTGATTTTTTTCTTATATAGGATGTTATACTGTTTGTTTTCAGTTAAGGCAGAATTGCTCTTGTTTTATTCTTGTAGATAAAATGAATTAGAATCCATAGTGAAATTTGTTACCTGAGTAAGGATGGTGGCAAAGTGACAAATCTCCACAGCTAAGGAGATATATTCATTAAGTTTCAGAAATATGTGAGTATAGTGTTCATACTTTTCTCCCGATCTCATGATTCGAAAACCAAAATTCACGTGATTATTAGTGGATGTATATTTTAAAGTTTGTTTTAACTACTGTTTAAACGAAGCCTGTTAGTTAGTGTGAGGTAAGCTGGTCCACTTGCATTGAATTTTAGAGACGGAGAGGGTGCGAAGGATCACCTAGTCTACAGAAGCCCACTATAGAGACCAGAAGATTGAGCCTTGCCGAGATCCCACAGTCCACTCCTGGCTGAGTTGGCCCAAGGACCTGCAGTTCCTCACCTGTGGCCGGTGCTCTGCACTCCCGTAACCCTGTGCCTTCACGGCTTGTCTTATAGACTGGACAGTTCCATAACGACACAGTGGATGCATCTCAAATTCATTTATTCATTCAGCAGACATTTATTGAACACCTACTGTGTGCACTAGGGGGCGATGTAAAGGTGAAAATATGAGGACTTCTTGAAAGGAGCGTATATTCTTTAAAGGAAGGTGAGTACACAAGTACTGCAGTACTATAGGCTGAAGGAATGTACAAGGGGTGTAAATGGCCTAACAGGCTTCTTAAGGACACATAACACCTGGCAGTGGGTGCGTTAGAAAGACTTCATAAAGGAAAACCCAAACCAAATGTGCTGCCGTCAGTCAGTTCCCACTCAGAGCAACGCTATGCGACAGAGTAGAGCTGACTGATTACCTTAGTGACATGCCCACTGCTGTCAGGTTGATTCTGACTCATAGCGACCCTATAGGACAGAGTAGAACTGCCCATAGTGTTTCCAAGGCTGTAAATCTTTAAGGAAGCAGACTGCCACATCTTTCTCCTGCGGAGTGGCTGGTGGTTCCAACCAATAACCTTTCCGGTAGCAGCCAAGTGTTTAACCACTGTACCACCAGGGCTCCTTTATAAAGGAAACTGTTGAATTTGACCTTTGAGTATTTCAGCTGCCAAAGATAGGTGGGCGGAGAGCATTCCAGGGGGAGAGAAGAGCATGAGAAAATCTGAGCAAATTCAAGGCCTGTGGCATGGTCTCCTTTTTGAGCATTCACTTAAAGGGAAGCAGTAAGACGAAAGGAGGATAGATTGGGGCCACAGTATGGGAGAACCTGAATGCCATGGTGAGGTGTTTGCATAGGTAGAGGGGAGCCATTGGAGGGTTCTGAATGGAGAAATAAAATAATCGTAGCTGAGCTTTAGGACTGTTTCTGTGGCATGCAGTGGGGACAGACTGCAGGAGGGAGTCAACTTAAGGAAGCGATTGTACCAGTTACAGAAGGAGGTAATGAAAGTCTGAAGGAGGATGAAGGCAGTGAGTGGAATGGGAAAGTAGGTATTACCCAGGTGGAGTGACAGCTTCAGCTAAGAATTGGATGTCAAGAAGCAAGGGAGGATCTGAGAAAATGGGCTTTGGGCTTGGGTGACTGACTCATAGAATGAATAGTATACAGTTTATCTTAATACATGGCTGATAACCATTTCAATAGCTATTAAATTTGAGGAAGTTACGTATTTTATAAAAATATCAAACCAATGGTTAGTAATGATAGCAAACCTATACAACAGAATGAAACACTGCCCAGTCCTACGCCATCCTCACAATCGTTGCTGTCTTTGAGCCCATTGTTGCAGCCACTGTGTCAGTCCATCTTGTTGAGGGTCTTCCTCCTTTTCACTGACCCCCTACTTTACCAAGCATGATGTCCTTTTCCAGGGACTGGAGAAGTACATGAGATGAAGTCTCACCATCCTCGCTTCTAAGGAGCATTCTGTATGTACTTCTTCCAAGACAGATTTTTCATTCTTCTGGCAGTCTATGGTGTATTCAGTATTCTT